ACAATCCCAATACCATATATAAAATCTTTTGTTGCAGTTTCGTCTAGTTTCCTTTTCTTCGCTTGTAATTCAGCATCACATTCATTACTAACAGAACTGTTGCTATTATCACTTTCGATTATTAATTAAAGTATCCTCTTCTTAATGCAAAAAGCCGTTTTGAATCGCTTTTAGTTCTTGAGAAATAAATTTTTGAAATAATCGACAATTTTTTCGAATTTTGCAATTTTCGCCGATTAAGTTTTAAAAATTCGTATAAAATCCAGTTCTTGGAATATGAGTATGAAAATTTCCCAAAGTGTTAATAAAAGTGTCCTCTTTCCAATGAACCAACCCGTTTTGAAAAATAACTTTTAGTTTTTGAGAAAACAATATTTGAAGTTTTGATAAAATTTTCGATGTTGCAATTTTCATCGATAATTTTCAAAATTCGCTATAAAATTAATTTCTTGAAGGATCCTTGTGGAAATATCACCAATTATTAATTAAAGTATCCTCTTTTTAATGCAAAAAGCCGTTTTGAAAAATCACTTTTAGTTCTTGAGAAATAAATTTTTGAAATGATCGACAATTTTTTCGAATTTTGCAATTTTCGCCGATTAAGTTTTAAAAATTCGTATAAAATCCAGTTCTTGGAATATGAGTATGAAAATTTCCCAAAGTGTTAATAAAAGTGTCCTCTTTCCAATGAACCAACCCGTTTTGAAAAATAACTTTTAGTTTTTGAGAAAACAATATTTGAAGTTTTGATAAAATTTTCGATGTTGCAATTTTCATCGATAATTTTCAAAATTCGCTATAAAATTAATTTCTTGAAGGATCCTTGTGGAAATATCACCAATTATTAATTAAAGTATCCTCTTTTTAATGCAAAAAGCCGTTTTGAAAAATCACTTTTAGTTCTTGAGAAATAAATTTTTGAAATGATCGACAATTTTTTCGAATTTTGCAATTTTCGCCGATTAAGTTTTAAAAATTCGTATAAAATCCAGTTCTTGGAATATGAGTATGAAAATTTCCCAAAGTGTTAATAAAAGTGTCCTCTTTCCAATGAACCAACCCGTTTTGAAAAATAACTTTTAGTTTTTGAGAAAACAATATTTGAAGTTTTGATAAAATTTTCGATGTTGCAATTTTCATCGATAATTTTCAAAATTCGCTATAAAATTAATTTCTTGAAGGATCCTTGTGGAAATATCACCAATTATTAATTAAAGTATCCTCTTTTTAATGCAAAAAGCCGTTTTGAAAAATCACTTTTAGTTCTTGAGAAATAAATTTTTGAAATGATCGACAATTTTTTCGAATTTTGCAATTTTCGCCGATTAAGTTTTAAAAATTCGTATAAAATCCAGTTCTTGGAATATGAGTATGAAAATTTCCCAAAGTGTTAATAAAAGTGTCCTCTTTCCAATGAACCAACCCGTTTTGAAAAATAACTTTTAGTTTTTGAGAAAACAATATTTGAAGTTTTGATAAAATTTTCGATGTTGCAATTTTCATCGATAATTTTCAAAATTCGCTATAAAATTAATTTCTTGAAGGATCCTTGTGGAAATATCACCAATTATTAATTAAAGTATCCTCTTTTTAATGCAAAAAGCCGTTTTGAAAAATCACTTTTAGTTCTTGAGAAATAAATTTTTGAAATGATCGACAATTTTTTCGAATTTTGCAATTTTCGCCGATTAAGTTTTAAAAATTCGTATAAAATCCAGTTCTTGGAATATGAGTATGAAAATTTCCCAAAGTGTTAATAAAAGTGTCCTCTTTCCAATGAACCAACCCGTTTTGAAAAATAACTTTTAGTTTTTGAGAAAACAATATTTGAAGTTTTGATAAAATTTTCGATGTTGCAATTTTCATCGATAATTTTCAAAATTCGCTATAAAATTAATTTCTTGAAGGATCCTTGTGGAAATATCACCAATTATTAATTAAAGTATCCTCTTTTTAATGCAAAAAGCCGTTTTGAAAAATCACTTTTAGTTCTTGAGAAATAAATTTTTGAAATGATCGACAATTTTTTCGAATTTTGCAATTTTCGCCGATTAAGTTTTAAAAATTCGTATAAAATCCAGTTCTTGGAATATGAGTATGAAAATTTCCCAAAGTGTTAATAAAAGTGTCCTCTTTCCAATGAACCAACCCGTTTTGAAAAATAACTTTTAGTTTTTGAGAAAACAATATTTGAAGTTTTGATAAAATTTTCGATGTTGCAATTTTCATCGATAATTTTCAAAATTCGCTATAAAATTAATTTCTTGAAGGATCCTTGTGGAAATATCACCAATTATTAATTAAAGTATCCTCTTTTTAATGCAAAAAGCCGTTTTGAAAAATCACTTTTAGTTCTTGAGAAATAAATTTTTGAAATGATCGACAATTTTTTCGAATTTTGCAATTTTCGCCGATTAAGTTTTAAAAATTCGTATAAAATCCAGTTCTTGGAATATGAGTATGAAAATTTCCCAAAGTGTTAATAAAAGTGTCCTCTTTCCAATGAACCAACCCGTTTTGAAAAATAACTTTTAGTTTTTGAGAAAACAATATTTGAAGTTTTGATAAAATTTTCGATGTTGCAATTTTCATCGATAATTTTCAAAATTCGCTATAAAATTAATTTCTTGAAGGATCCTTGTGGAAATATCACCAATTATTAATTAAAGTATCCTCTTTTTAATGCAAAAAGCCGTTTTGAAAAATCACTTTTAGTTCTTGAGAAATAAATTTTTGAAATGATCGACAATTTTTTCGAATTTTGCAATTTTCGCCGATTAAGTTTTAAAAATTCGTATAAAATCCAGTTCTTGGAATATGAGTATGAAAATTTCCCAAAGTGTTAATAAAAGTGTCCTCTTTCCAATGAACCAACCCGTTTTGAAAAATAACTTTTAGTTTTTGAGAAAACAATATTTGAAGTTTTGATAAAATTTTCGATGTTGCAATTTTCATCGATAATTTTCAAAATTCGCTATAAAATTAATTTCTTGAAGGATCCTTGTGGAAATATCACCAATTATTAATTAAAGTATCCTCTTTTTAATGCAAAAAGCCGTTTTGAAAAATCACTTTTAGTTCTTGAGAAATAAATTTTTGAAATGATCGACAATTTTTTCGAATTTTGCAATTTTCGCCGATTAAGTTTTAAAAATTCGTATAAAATCCATTTCTTGGAATATGAGTATGAAAATTTCCCAAAGTGTTAATAAAAGTGTCCTCTTTCCAATGAACCAACCCGTTTTGAAAAATAACTTTTAGTTTTTGAGAAAACAATATTTGAAGTTTTGATAAAATTTTCGATGTTGCAATTTTCATCGATAATTTTCAAAATTCGCTATAAAATTAATTTCTTGAAGGATCCTTGTGGAAATATCACCAATTATTAATTAAAGTATCCTCTTTTTAATGCAAAAAGCCGTTTTGAAAAATCACTTTTAGTTCTTGAGAAATAAATTTTTGAAATGATCGACAATTTTTTCGAATTTTGCAATTTTCGCCGATTAAGTTTTAAAAATTCGTATAAAATCCATTTCTTGGAATATGAGTATGAAAATTTCCCAAAGTGTTAATAAGAGTGTCCTCTTTTCAATGAACCAACACGTTTTGAAAAATAACTTTTAGTTTTTGAGAAAACAATATTTGAAGTTTTGATAACATTTTCGATGTTGCAATTTTCATCGATAATTTTTAAAATTCGCGTTAAAATTAATTTCTTGAAGGATCCTTGTGGAAATATCACCAATTATTAATTAAAGTATCGTCTTTTTAGAGTTGCTTCTTTAGTTAAATCAGCATCAAAAAAGTTCATTTTGTATCTTGGATCCAAATAAGTAATGTGGCAATGTAGAGTATCACTTCAGAAATGTACCAGAAATTATAACCATAATGGCCTGATAGATATGCCGGATAACTTGGCTGTTCGCCAGATATGACTCCAATTGATTTTTGTATTTGGGGTCATATTATATCACCTGTTAACACAAAAAAAAGTTACCTCGTATTATTTAGCGTTTGATGATGTTTATCAACGTCCCCAGCTATTTCGAAGAATTCTGCTGATTTTTATAAAGTTTAATGCAGTATTATTTGTAATAGAAAGTACCTGAAAAAGTGAAAAATGATAAATTATAGTTTAATTTATTATAAGCATTTTTAACATTAAAAAAAAAAACTGAAGGAAGAGTCTGAGTAGAATGTGAAAATACTTTGGGGGAGTAACAACAGAAGAAAGAGATTAAACAAAGATTCCAAAGAGAAAAAAGATGTTGGGCGAAATTGACGAGACTACAAAGAATACATGGAAGAGAGAAGCTGTGAAAGAACCTGAATGAAAATCTGTAATCTGAAATTCGTGCATTTTTGAGATTAAAACTGCAAAAGATGTTGAATTTAAAAAAACAATGTCCATTTGCTAATTCGATAGACTTAGGCATTGTTACTCAACATATTTTTTTTTACGGATGTAAAGATGTCCTAAAATTTTTTATAATAAAAACACAACATTCTGTTAATACCAAATTATTCACAACAAATACAAATAAAAAATGAAGTCCGAACAAAAAAAATGTTATGATCTAAGAACTATTCTGACGTCATTTACTACGGAAACGGGACACATTTCTAAATTCCAGGACACAGAGGAGTTTCCAGCCTTCAAAAAGCTAGCAGCTGTCGTGCGGACGGCGCCAAAGAAACTAATCGACTTTCGAGAGAGAATTCGCGTTAAGAAACGAAGCGAAACCGAGTTCTATATCAAAAGTCATCCGCGGCTTCACGTTCAAAAAGAACAAAAAGTACTCTTGACACATCCAAGAAAAGAAAAGTTTAGTTTTCTTACGAAGATTCCAAGAACAAAGAATCGTTGAACACGATTCGCCATTGGCGCCCTGGGTATAAACAAGGACGAAAAGAGGCCCCAACACCGTCCGTTTGACGAGACTTCAATGGGAGACAAAATAAGACCGGCTCGTCGCTGGTGGGGACTTCGAGACGGCCCATTGGCTACGACAAGACTTTGCACGTTCGTTCTAAAGCTAAGAATCAGTGCGACGATAACCGTGTTCGCGTTTAGATGAAAAAAATTGAATTTAAATTAAAAAAAAATAAATAAAATGTTTAGAAGTGCTGATTCTTCACCTGCTTACCGTGAATTATCACCAACAAGTCCAGGTTCTTATCAAAGTTGTTCACCAAATCGTCTAATGGACTTAACAAACGCAAACGAAGTTATGGTTGACACAAGACACGATTTACAATATTCTTATGGTTATAACACTTACCAAGAAATTTATCAAAACCAGTACCACCATCAACCCGAAGCATTTCGAATAAAAGTCGAGTTGGATGATGAACCCATCATGAAAACGAGGGCCGTCGGTGGTAGGAAAAGAAAGTCGCAAACGTTTTCATCCGATGACGAAAATTCTTGCCAAAGCGTAAAATCGAAGACGCGAAGGAAATCTCCCCAAAGTTTCGAAGAAATACAAAATCAGAGGTTAATGGCGAACGTAAGGGAACGACAACGCACGCAAAGTTTAAACGAAGCTTTCGCTAGTTTAAGAAAGTGCATTCCAACTTTGCCTTCAGATAAATTATCAAAAATTCAAACATTAAAGCTCGCCGCCCGTTACATTGATTTTTTGTACCATATTTTATCAAACTCAACCCCGGATAATCAAGGTGAAGGTGACACGATCGGCAATGTTTGTTCTTACACCGCACACGAAAAATTAAGCAGGGCTTTTAGTGTGTGGAGAATGGAAGGTGATTGGAATACACATGCGTGAAATATAGATAATTTGTATACAATAAATAAAAGAGACAATAATATTATTTAAAGAGCAAAAAAGAATGTGGTTTAGTTGATGATACTGGAAGTTATTTGTTACTGTGATACAATTTTCGTTAATATTTCCATTATGTATATTATTTGTACGTATAAGTTTAGTTTTTTTTCTTTGGTATTATTATTATTATAGTTATTGTATAATCATTTTGTTGTTTGTTTTAATTTTTACAATCCTTTTTTACTTTTCTGCACGTGATATACTACTGCACCTTGAGATGTGCTAAAATACGGTAAACATTGCTTTCAAAATTATTGAAACAAATCGACTTAAATAAAGCACATTGAAAATTAAAGCTGAAAACGCAGCTGGAAGATTTTATTGTAAATGTTCAGAATAGAATCTTGTTGTTACATAATTGATGCAAAAATATCCATCTAAATAATTACTATATTGATAATTTTCTTTGTTGAATTTCAAAATGTGTTCAAAGAGGTATAATTGCAGTGTCGAAACCTAAATTTGAATCTTGAGGTCTTTAAGGATCCAACAAAGAAAGGTGTCATAATTCTAATGAAATAAGAGACTTAATTTCTGCACTTTTTAATGGACTTATTTTTATTTGTAAGTTCAACTTACTGTAACTTGATTTCAGAGTACATAAATTCGACCTTGACGTAGTTCCTGAGGATGATTGAATAGATCGAAACCGGTCGAACTTAAAAATAAAAATAAATCTTTCCATCTTATTGCAAGATGGAAAGGAAAAACGATAAGTGATATAATTTTAATGTTTCCGACTAGTGATGGAACGCATAGTGCCAAAAGAACTTTTTTGATGCTAATTTAACTCACGAAGCAACTCTAAAAAGAGGATACTTTAATTAATAACAAGGATCCTTCAAGAAATGAATTTTATAGCAAATTTTGAAAGTTATCAATGAAAATTGCAACTTCAAATATTGTTTTCTCAAAAACTGAAAGCTATTTTTCAAAACGGGTTGGTTCATTGGAAAGATGACACTCTTATTAACACTTTGGGAAATTTTCATACTCATATTTCAAGAAATGGATTTGATACGAATTTTTAAAACTTAATCGGCGGAAATTGCAAAATTCGAAAAAATTGTCGATTATTTCAAAAATTTATTTCTCAAGAACTAAAAGTGATTTTTCAAAACGGCTTTATGCATTAAAAAGAGGATACTTTAATTAATAATTGGTGATATTTCCACAAGGATCCTTCAAGAAATGAATTTTATCGTNTTTGCGACTTTTTATCAAATTGGAGATTTTCAGCTCTTCTTCTTAATGATAATTTCGGGTGTTCCTCTACTGAACGTAATACCAACAAAGTGCATCATTTTCATCGTATCTCTTCTTTTCTCTAGGTATTCGCAACAATGACCCAGTGCTTAAACCTTCAAAATTATTTTACGGCAGTCTCAGAAACGTGGAGAATTTTTCATTAAATTCCTGAATAACTCGACGTTAACATTGTTCGCCTTTCCCATAACATTGCACCAAGTAAATTTTTTGCTGTAAAGTAAGAATTTTAAGCTGACAATACTACGGGTAATAAAGTATAAAAGCGAAGTATCAATAAAGCTTGTCACTATCAACGCCAACTAGTACAAAAATGATCGCAAATAAATGAAAGTAGGCCGGTTTTTTCGAAAATTGGTATTAGAGACTACCTTTTACTTTTGAATAACTTTTCCTAGTAACTTATTTCCTTATCTTCTCAAATAAATAAATTTTTTCAATTTTCTGAACACCGTGTATAAAATATGTTAAATGTTTCTATCCCAATCTTACTCTAAGAACTAGCAAAACTTTTTTCAATTAAATTTAAAATAAAAAAGATTCTATTCAACACCTTTTCCGTGGACATGCTGTATTAATTTTCACGAATGAATAAATTAAAATAAAATAATAATAATAAAATAAATTAAAAATTAAAATGTTTATGATGATTAAATAATCATCGTGGACTTATTCTTTTTTATCCTATTGAAAGAGAAATGACTTAAATAAACATTTTTTATTAATAGTGGTGGAACGGATATCCGGCAACTATCCACTTTCCGGCCATTTTTTAAAATCCGGCCGGATACCGGATAGTTACCAAATATTCGTCTTTATTTATACCAGGTTGGTCTTTAGCAACCTCATTGTAACAATCCCAATACCATATATAAAATCTTTTGTTGCAGTTTCGTCTAGTTTCCTTTTCTTCGCTTGTAATTCAGCATCACATTCATTACTAACAGAACTGTTGCTGTTATCACTTTCGATTATTAATTAAAGTATCCTCTTCTTAATGCAAAAAGCCGTTTTGAATCGCTTTTAGTTCTTGAGAAATAAATTTTTGAAATAATCGACAATTTTTTCGAATTTTGCAATTTTCGCCGATTAAGATTTAAAAATTCGTATAAAATCCACTTCTTGGAATATGAGTGTGAAAATTTCCCAAAGTGTTAATAAGAGTGTCCTCTTTCCAATGAACCAACCCGTTTTGAAAAATAACTTTTAGTTTTTGAGAAATTATATTTGAAATTTTGATAAAATTTTCGATGTTGCAATTTTCTTAATTTTCAAAATTCGCTATAAAATTAATTTCTTGAAGGGTCCTTGTGGAAATATCACCAATTATTAATTAAATTATACTCTTTTTAATGCAAAAAGCGGTTTTGAAAAATCACTTTTAGTTCTTGAGTAATAAATTTTTAAAATAATCGACAATTTTTTCGAATTTTGCAATCTTCGCCGATTAAGTTTTAAAAATTCGTATAAAATCCACTTCTTGGAATATGAGTATGAAAATTTACCAAAGTGTTAATAAGAGTGTCTCCTTTCCAATGAACCAACACGTATTGAAAAATAACTTTTAGTTTTTGAGAAAACAATATTTGAAGTTTTGATAAAATTTTCGATGTTGCAATTTTCTTAATTTTCTAAATTCGTTCTAAAATTAATTTCTTGAAGGATCCTTGTGGAAATATCACCAATTNAAAGTGATTTTTCAAAACGGCTTTATGCATTAAAAAGAGGATACTTTAATTAATAATTGGTGATATTTCCACAAGGATCCTTCAAGAAATGAATTTTATAACGAATTTTGAAAGTTATCGATGAAAATTGCAACATCGAAAATTTGATCAAATTTTCAAATATTGTTTTCTCAAAAACTAAAAGCAATTTTTCAAAACGGGTTGGTTCATTGGAAAGAGGACACTCTTATTAACACTTTGGGAAATTTTCATACTCATATTTCAAGAAATGGATTTTATACGAATTTTTAAAACTTAATCGGCGAAAATTGTAAAATTCGAAAAAATTTTCTATCATTTCAAACATTTATTTCTCAAAAACTAAAAGCGATTTTTTAAAACGGCTTGTTGCATTAAAAAACGGATATTTTAATTAATCAATGGTGATATTTCCATAAGGATCCATCAAGAAATTAATTTTATAGCGAATTTTGAAAGTTATCGATGAGAATTGCAACATCGAAAATGTTATCAAAACTTCAAATATTGTTTTCTCAAAATCTAAAAGTTATTTTTCAAAACGGGTTGGATCATCGGAAAGAGGACACTCTTATTAACACTTTGGGAAATTTTCATACGCATATTCCAAGAAATGGATTTTATACGAATTTTTAAAACATAATCGGCGAAAATTGCAAAATTCTGAATTATAAGCGAAGAGAAGAAAACTAGACGAAACTGCAACAAGAGATTTTATATATCGTATTGGGATTGTTACAATGAGGTAGTTAATGACATACCTGATATAAATAAAGTTGTATTCAATGAAAAAAGTTCTATGGGGTTGAACTTGATTATTATCTACAGTGTCCAACACCTAAAAGAGATACTAATTCCTGTGAATGATGGAGTACTAAGTAATAGGTTTTTAATATCCGACTTTGGCCTAATTATCCGGTATCGGATAGTTGCCGAATATCCGTTCCACCACTAATTTCAACTATTTCTGCAACTGAAAGTTCAGCAAAACTGGCATCAAAGTTAAATTATGAAATTCATGTAACATTTATCGATTTCATCTGATACAAATTTGAAGAACACAGCAAGTGGTGTAAAATCGCACAATAGTAATCACCACTTTCAATGGAATCATCAAAACAAGCAAGAGAAAATTTTTGACAATCAACATATTCGTGAATTTCAGCAAGAATCCACTCTTATAAAAATCTATAATATCAAATAATATAAATCCTTGTGTTCCTTACATATTCTTACATATATAAATAAATATTCTTACATATTCATCGTCTTAGTTTCATTTAATTGAATGAACGTGATATAATCATTATTAGTTGAATGGTTGTGTTTTTTGAGATGTTTACAAAAGACGGACTTCAATTTAGTTAAGTGTTCTTTATCGGTTACATTTATTCTAATTTATAACAATCGTTGCATTCGATTTATGAACTCCACTTACAAGCTAAGACACCCCAACTGCCAAATTCAGAAAAATTTTAAATTTGGTGTAAGCAAAAAGGGCATTGACACATTTTTTTCTATGGAAAAACACTTTAAGGGGGCGAAACAGCCCTTTAAAACAGAGTGTTATATAATAACCGTTTTAAAAGTTTGTTACAAATAAACTGCTTTATATACATTTATAACAATCGTTGCATTCGATTTATGGACTCCACTTACAAGCTAAGACTCCCCAACTGCCAAATTCAGAAAAATTTTAAATTTGGTGTAAGCAAAAAGGCATTGACACATTTTTTTCTATGGAAAAACACTTTAAGGGGCGAAACAGCCCTTTAAAACAGAGTGCTATATAATAACAGTTTTAAAAATTTGTTACAAATAAACTGCTTTTTCATGTTTATAGAACGAACATAATTTAATGCCCGTTATCAAAAGATTTTAAAACATGTGTACATCATGTCAGTATGGTTGTGTTGGACTTGGTATAAAATCCTATAATTTTGCCTTTGTTAGCTTAACATTACCTTCTCTAGTAGCTGGACATGGTATAATTTAATACAATAAAAAGAGGTGGCGGTAAAAGGTGGCTATGATGGCATACAACACATTTTCATGTATTTTATGTTCTAAACCTTTTTGATATTGTTGATAAAATTCCTGAAGCTTCTGGTAAGACAAATTTTTGAAAAATGATATCAAAAACAACAATGTTTTATTTTTAGGTATTGCAAAAT